ATTTCTGATTAAAATGATACCTTTACCAGCTCTACATGACTTTTCTTTGCAAAGTAATAGAATTTACAAGAAAAGCTTCAAATTAATTTTTTCTTTATTTCTGTAGCTTTGGGCAAGATTTAGAGCTCATGTAAATTCTATAACTTTGCAAAGAAAACTCATATAGAGCTGGTAAAGGTATCATTTTAATCAGAAATCTGCGGGCTACAATCAGGCCTTATTAAGAAAGGTTTTGGTTATCTTCTAGGGCTTATGAGAAACTGGTTCAAAAACCCAACGTTAGCCCAAACGATTGTGATATTCGGATTCAGCACCCTCAATTACCTATTGTCCACTTAGGTTCAGCTCAAAAGCGATTGGACAGTTGGGGACCTTCCCTCGTACGTTAGCTCTCTCTTACCTTGTGGCTTTTGAGTTTCATATTCACTAAGATTACATTTTTGACAAATATAAAGAGCAAATCCTGTCTTTGTCATATGAAATATAGCCGTATGATCGATATTCTCTTCTAAAATACACTTTTTTATCTTGCTTATTTTTAAATTTTGATCGGTTATTTCAATATTAATTTTCCTGTCATAAAATGCCAAAAACCATTGTGATCTGTCATGTTTTTTTGTCGTAAATTGAATTGCTGAATGGAAATGATCCGTCGATAGCAAAGCTCCGTAGTTGAGTTCAACTGAAACTGGCCACGTTTTGAATAGCAATTTGCCATTCGGTTTGTTTTTCGAAACAGATGTTTGTCGCAGTGATATTTCTCGCAGTTGTAAATTGGAATCCTTAAATTTGAGTGGATTCTCAAACATTAACCAAACTGGAGGAGTGGGCTCAGAAAAGGCAAGATCGATACTGCACGCTTGTTCAAACTGTCTCAAAATGTAGCTCAATCCAAAGTGCCATGATGAAAAGACAGATTCAGACGATTTTGTCAATCTTAACCATTCTTCAACATAGTTCATGTCGTTCTTTTGCTCATAAACAATGATTCTGACCGTGCGTTGATCAACCAGCACAAAAGATAAATTAGGTTGATGATCATCTATCGGTTCATCTCCTCTAAAACGGTTTGATTGCATACTTGTCAAGTTGGACAAACTCGCCGAACGATGACCCATGCCTGTTGAAGAATAGAATTGTCCATTCTCCTCATTGTCTTCTTCAGTATCGTTCTCATTTGGATTTGAAAAATATTTTTCGTCATCTTCAAAATAGTTACATCGGCTTTCAATTTGTTGATCTAGTTCATATTTTTCCCAGACTGAAGTTTCACTTGTATCCTAAAACGAAGAATTACAATTGATGTTTAAATATCATTGGAGCGACTTTCTTACAAAACAGAAAGAGAATGGCATATGTTTTTCAGTGAAATCGTAACTTTGTATACATTAGAGAAAAGCAAAAACACTAGCGACGTCATCAAGTTTGAGGTCTTTTCTATTAACTAAGATCAAAAGAACAATAAAATTATAATAACTATTACTTACGCTTGATATTGATAACGATCTATTTCTTGCTGGATAATTGGAATTGGAAGACATCGTTGTTTGAGGTATATCGTGTTTTGATATTGTTGCTGGATAAGGAGATATTTCGATTAGTTTTTCCTTCTAATATCTTTTTAACAATGAGAGCAAGTAGTTTATGTCTATAGACGTCTTTATATAGTCAAAAAAGTAGGAAAAACCACCATGTAAGTTTAACTTTTCTACTTCTTTTAAAAAAACAAGAACAAGACTTTTTGATAATAATACGTTGGTGACATAGTGGTATATATGTCTGCCGTAGAAAAAAAAGTAATTTCAGAAGAAAAGTAGAGAAAAATAAACTATCTTTTTCACTGTATTGTGGTATATAAGCATGAGTTCCCGGAGAAAGAGAAAAATTACTGAAAGAGACAAGAGTTAAAAATCTTGATTGGTTCCAGGCAAGGTCATATTTTAGAAGGAAGGATGAAACAATGGGAACCATCTATTTAAATATGATGCAGAAAAATAAGCATTGACAGATGCATGGAATTTTGCAGCAAAAAGTATTTTTAAAAACACCTTGAACTAAATTTCGATTGAAGGAAGCATTTTCAAACTAAAGTGTGGGTACAAAAGTTGTCTAGAATCAGATTCCCTGGAATATGAACGAAGGATTTTTCAAAATTCGTTAGACTCGATTTTTAAATTGAAA